GGAATAGCTCTCTGAACACCTGTACTATGGTGTTGAAGGCGCCCAAAATGATTGCCTAGGCTGGGCAGATAAAAAACGACCGTCTAACTTCCAAGACTGGAAAGGATATGCCGATTGCGGTGAAATGACGAATTTCTTATCGGCCATCAAGGCAGTCTGTGCTCCACAGACTAAGGGTACTGTGCCACTCCTCAGCCAAAACGGGACGACCCAGTTGGCGGAGAAATCGAAGATTCTGTGACGTTGCGCCGCCCACTTCCTGGCGTCTTCCCCCACCCCTGAACAACCTGGGAAGGAACCATCAACTGACTTCCTCATGTGGATACCAGTGACGGCATCGATCGCCCCCTCATCCTTCGAGGGGTAACCCGAGCAGTGGAAGGACAGCGACTGCCGAAGCGATCTAAGCTTAAATTCAAAATACTGTGTCCATCAAAACATGGACATGCCCATCTGCCCGTCCCAGAAGACGCGGCTGCAGGTACAAATCCCTAAATACAACAAGGATATCATCATTGTACACACACGTGCACAAATGCAAAGACAGCCGAGAATTCTGTAATAATCACCGAGCCATCGCCTTCATAAACACTAGGAGAGATCTTCGTACGAGTCCTGCTCAGACACATGAGCACGAATCTCCAACAGAGACTTCTTCTAGAAACACAGTGCGGATTTCTGAACCACTGGTGAACCTCGGAGACGATATTCGCAGCCCCCTAGCGGCAAGAAAAGTTTCGGAAAATGTCGACCAGTCTCTAAGTCATCTCCCGTGAAGGTGGTGAAGGATTTTGATCAGGTGAAGTGCGATGGACCCTGGCGAATCATGCTGAAATGTGGACGTCCGCAAACGATTCGCACAAGTGGCAAGAGGACTACACGACGTCAGGGACCTCGCAGCAGTCTCTGAAGTATCAGACCGTGTACTCACGCCCACCCGACTTAATCTTATAGTCTGCCTTGTGCTGATCGGCGCAGACAAAATCCAGTGACAAACTTCGATGGAGTGAAGAGCACGAAAACCTGATTGTCCTTGATGACTTCACTGTCCCAGCTGGTGCGGGCCTGAGAGGGAGTGTTCTGTCGCCGGACATTGGCTGGTACAAGAAAAACGGTCTCTACGCGCTGAAAGACGACAGTTCGACCGTCGTGCCCGACGATGTCCACTGTTTACTCCGCAGCAAGGTGAAGCAGGCACGGTGACTTGCGAGTGAATTAGTTCGTAATGAGAGTAGACGCACGCAACATCTGCCACACTCTCTTCTCCTCCCCACCTGGGTCCGGCTTCAAGACACAGTCAAGAAAACCGGAGGTGAGGGAGGACACACGTGAATGGGAAGGCCGAAATCGCACCCAGGTATACCACCTCACTTCCTGGTCCACAACAAACACTTGATCAAGATTTTTACCAACAACAGCACAAGGCCGGATCAGAAAGAGGAGGTTGACTGGGCAACCCTGCTCACGACCTGTATACCCAGCGGGAGCTCAGGCGCATCTACCGGCAGGGAGTCAGATGTCAGGGAACTGCCAGTGTATACCAGGCTGAGAGGGCCATGGTTTACTGATCCTGACAGAGCAGACGCTTACAGACCTTGACGCATTGCATTTGCCTGAGCCATCACCCATTAGGTGAAGTTGTCCACCACTTGCAGCTGGGTACCGTTCACGTTGATTTGGGGTGAGGCGTAGGCAGCGTCGGGTAGTGGTTGATGCATAACCACTGTTTATTCCGCGTTGATGACCAGGCCGAAGTTCTCGCAGGCGGCAGAGAAGAGGTCCATGCTCCCTTGCATGTCCTTTCCGAGGTGGTGTTGAGGGCGCAGTCGTCGCGAAGAGAAGTTCGTGGACGGTGGTTGTGAATACACGCGACTGGAAGTGCATCCGCCGCTGATTGAGGAGGTGGCCGTCCGTCCTCTAGCCGACGCGGCGCTCATCCCGGTAGGCGGCCATCAGCATGGCAGAGAGCATGAGACTGAAGAGGGTAGGCGCGAGGACCCAGCCCAGCTTCTCTTCGTTGGTCACTGTGACTGTTTCTGAGACAGGCCCATTGTTCGTGATGCACACCACCATGCCATAGTGGAGCTGACTGAATCACTCGGGACAGCCGAACTTCTGCATGATTTTCCAAAGTCTCTCACGATTCATCGTGTCGAAGGCTTTCGTCGGATCAACGAAGGTAGAGCACAGGTGGGGCCGCATCTCCTGGCACTTCTCCTGAAGTTGGCGGGCGGAGAAGATCATGTCGGTGGTCCCACGATGACGACGGATGCCGCATTGGCTTTCCGGCAGGAGACCCTGTTCCAGATGGTCGTTCAGGCGGTCGAGAAGAATGCCAGCGAATATTTTCCCAGCGATGTTCAGCAGGGAAAGGCCTCGGTAGTTGTCGCAGATTTGGCGGTTCCCTTTTCGCTTGTAGAAGTGTACGATTATGGCGTCTTTGGAATCCTGTGGGACTTCTCCTTGACGCCACATCTCCTGGAATAGTGCAGTCAAATGATTCATGAGTTGGGGGCCATCTTGCTTGTAGATCTCAGCAAGTATCACGTCCGATCCGAGCACTTTCCCGCTGGAGAGCTACTGTACGACCCTGATGGTTTCGTGGAGAGAGGGTGGGAGGTCGAGGTCCACGTTGGTCTCCATTTGCGGCAAGCGGGCGATGGCGGCGTCGGAGATGACGGAAGGGCGGTTGAGGACGCCTCGGAAGTGCTCGGCCCATCGCTGTAGGATTTGCGTCTTCTCAGTCAGGAGAGTGCTGCCGTCGGCGCTGAGGAGAGGAGCGGTGCCCTTCGTCGGCGGACCGTAGACAGCTTTGATCGCGGAAAAGAAGTTCTTCCATTCGTTGCGGTCTGCGTACCCTTGGACCTCCCCACCCTTGCAAGCCGTCCAGGCGTCCTGCACCTCCCGAAGCGGATGTTGCACAAGGTGAAAACTTCGGTAGAAGGTCGCTCTGTTGTCGTTGGGGCGATTGACGTAGGTTTTTGCTGATGGTTCTTCTCGGTGAGCAGGTTGATGATGGTGGCGTCATTGTCGTCGAGCCAGTCTTGATGTTGGCGACATATACGGCCGAGTACAGTCAGGGCGGTTGACTGGATCGCGCCCCTCAGTGGTCACCAGCATTCTCGTCGGCGGCCGCGGTTACGACTGGAAGGTTGGCTAGCCTTCATTGCTTAAATTGAGATTGCGAGCAGGCAGAGACAAAAGAGCACTCTTCAGAAGCGAACAGGAGAATTCCAGGAAGCAGTTCAGATGACGAAGACAGTTCCTGGAACTCGCCTGGTCGCTACTATCGGCAATCTTTTTTGGCGCACTGCTCTCCGATCTGCTCAGCAGTGGGAAACCTTTGTCCTTCGAGAGTCGTCTAATCATGCGCAGATTCGATTTCTGCACAGTCGTCTCGACAACAATGTGCTGCCGAAGTGTGTTTCATACAAACCTTCGGTCTACACAGAACTGGCGAGACACACAGTACTTCAGCACGGCAGGCGAATGATCCCAGTGCTCCTTCAAGACTGTCATGCAAGGATTCGCAAATATCGTCGGAGTCTTAGGCGAGTTCATTGGCGAGGACGGCAAAAAACTTCTTCAGCAGAGGGTGGCTGAACGAATCCTTGAACAGAGAACGACATGCAAAGCAACCCTAGAGAGCAAAATTCGTAAGCTTTCTGCACTAGTGTCATCCAGGAACGGCAAACCGGTGCGCAATCCGTCTCTCAAGGAACTGACGGAGGAACAAGTGCAGGTTTTAAGGCACGAGGCCTCATTTAACACAGCCGATGCCAAACCTATCAACATGATTTCAGCAGAGGAGTCATTCCTCAGCCAGGCGGAAACGACAACTGAAACGAAGAACCTTATTCAACACTAAGTGTCATCCTTCGTCATGGCTCATAGGTCGCACTACGTCCTTTCCAAGGTCTAACGTTATGCACTTAAGGAACTCTGGGCCGAAAACGACCTCGTTATCGTGCCTGCGGACAAGGGTAATTCCGCGGTCGTATTGAACAGGACAGACTATATTGAGAAAGCCAACAGTTTGTTGGAGGATCGTCAGTCCTATGCCCCATGCGAATCCAACCCCATGAAAACGCTGACACGCGAGGTTAACGCGACGCTGTTTGCAATGGAGAACTCAAGTGCCATATCGCCAGTCCACCGGTGCATGATGAGAGCGCAAGAAACGGCCCTGGTCCGATTCTACGGTCTCTCACACGTGTGCAAAGAGGGCGCTCCTCCCTGGCTCACCGTATCACTAAAAGGTGCTGCAACCTACGGATTGGCAAAGTGGCTGTTACGACGTCTCAAGTTTCTGACCTCTGATTCGACCATCACAGTCAGTTCGTCAACACAATTCCTGGAGAAACTTACAGCGGTAAGTCTCCTGTCAAGCAGCGTCATGGTTTCCTTTGATGCCACGTCGCATTTTACTTCTATCGCACAGGACCTGGCAGTTGAGGCCATCGAACTACTCCTACGAGAGAAATAGGATGAAGCGGACAAGCCCCTAGGACAGGCCCAAATCGTTCGATCTTGGGGCTTATAACCGAGGCGCTTCTACAACGGCTGGAGTCGCTGGTTTTCCAAAACCACAGACCAAGATTTGGGGCTCGGTATGTGGATGATGCCTTCGTCGTCAGCGAACGCGATCAGGTGCTGACGTTCAAAGAACATCTCAATGCCGTCTTCCCGGGCATTCAATTTAAGATGAAGGAGGAAGCGAACAACCGGCTGGCCTTCCTGGATGCCCTCGTCTGCCGCAAAGTTTGCAATGGCTTAACAACCAAAGTGTTCAGGAAAGCGAAAAATACGACACAAATACTGCACTTAAACCGCAACCACCCGATCAGTTACAAACGCAGTTACGTAAGGGCGCTATACTGGCGCGTTGAGATGCACTGCAGTGGAGTGGAAGACATGGTTGCTGAATTCCAACATCATCGACGGATACTGAGAGCCAGTGACTACTAGCGCAACTTTGTCAACAAGTGCATGCGAAAACGGCACCAGAAACCAAATTTAACCGGCCCCAAATTTTGGCGGACTCTTCCTTACATGAGGAACGTCTCGGAAGCCGTCAGCCGCCTTCTCGCCTCACTTGGAGTTGGGGTTGCACACAGACCGAAAGCAACCATCAGGCGCCAATTCATGTGACCGAAAGATCCGCTGCCACAGCAGGAAACGCCTGGAATATTTGTCCGGCTCTGGTGCAGTTGCGGACAGAGCAACTATGTCGGGGAAACTGGGAGGTGACTCCCGACGCGGATGGCTGAACACGCAGCGGCAGTGAAGCGGGAAGATACTAGCTCTCACGTGGCGGCTCATTCGACGGGATCCGGTCATATTATACAAGGCTGTAGGCGAATCAGCATCTTGGAGATGACGAGGTGATGGTCGGTCCACCCGTCAGCATCCGGAACCGCCTTTGTCACCGGCACGTCCCGCTGGTGTCGCCTCCGGGAGTGGACATTGTACAGCAGGCGCCATTGCCACGATAAGAGGTGAAATCAAGCGGCATTCTGACTCGATTGAAGGTGGAATTAGGTGTTGGTCAGGGTGAGCCGGTCTTCTGCGCAGGTTCGTAGGTGGACTCGGTCATTGTCGTTGGAGCCGTCGATACCATAAAGACCCAGCATTCCTCTCCAGGCAGAATGGTCTGTGCCGACGCGGGCGTTGAAGTCACCAAGGACAATCAACTTGTCCGCCTTCGGCACAGTCGCCAGGAGGACGTGCAGGTCCTCGTAGCATCTGTTCCTTGCAGAGTCGGGGCTGGTCATCGGGGGGCGTAGACGCTGATGACGCTGGTGAATGTGCCTCCCCGGTCGAGCAGGCGGAAGCTCATCAGGCGATCGTTGATGCCCTGCGCAAACAGCGTAGTCGTCACATGATGTCGTTCCGGATCGCATAGGCGACGCTCACGTCCCATCGCTCTGCCTTGGGGTGACCGCCTCACAAGAAGTTGTAACCGGCAACCACCTCCTCCATTTGCCCATGTTCGGAGAACCGGATCTCCCTGAGTGCAGCAATGCCCACCCTCTACCGCGCCAGCTCCAGGGCCGTCCTCCGTACAGGTTGATTGCTACTGGAATTATCTAAAAGGGAACGAAAATTCCAAGCTGACAGAGTGAGCGGACTCACTGTAGCTGCCCGTGGGGTGTGGCGGCGGAGTGGGGAGGAGGAGGGAGAAGAAGAAGAAGAAGAAGAAGAAGAAGAAGAAGAAGAAGAAGAAGAAGAAGAAGAAGAAAAAGGGAGAGTATGGTTTCTTGTTCTATTGGTTCGACCGTGTGTTTCGCATTTGCGATCCACGGTCGGCGCGCAGAGCACGTGGCGTCAACATTTGTTTAAGGCACATTTTCTAGCCTCATCACCCTGGTGGGGGTAATCAGTGCTATCACTAAATAGGGCTGCTCAGACATCACAGGCGGCTGCCGGACTCTACTTTAGGCCACGACCCTTGTTTAGCGGGAGAACGACCCTAGTTATCCTGGGCCGCCTACGAGATTGCATGTCGCCCTCTCCGTAGAACTTTTGAGTGGGGATTAGTTAACTGATTACGGAGGCGAAGACGGTTAGTAGACAAATCCAACGGACTGTATTCAGCAGAACGGTAGTTAGCTTATCAGGGTTAGTTGATGGCTGGAAGGCAAGCGGTGCGTAGGCAAGGACAACCAAGCGGTAGTCAGCCTACCTGAGGGGCACTTCATCGATGCCTGCTAGGGGGTTACCTAGGCGTTGCTGACCTCGTGGCCTCATGCGGAGTTGCAGATGGAACCTCATCTCGGAGGTGACGAGGCGGCGATCCCTCCGGCCGGCGGTTACGGGGATGTGGCCGTTACGTGGGACCTAGCTTCGTGGAGCCACATGCGAGAGTTGGGGGCCAATTAATGGACTTTAGGTGTAGTCACCACGTGCACGCAAATGAGCGGCCATCACATGGATCCACAACTGGACACCCCTACACACTTGCTGCAAAACACTGTACCCTTGTCACAAAATCGACCGAAAATTACGTGCATAGATGTCCTCTTGACCTTGTCACTGGTAATCGTAGCTAGAAATCAGCATCGCCTGCCGAGCCGAAGAAAAGCTTTTCAGCATCGGTAGCATGCTGAAATCTTCGAGAGTCTCCAAGACCGGTGCCAACGACCTCCTGTTCGCGGATGACTGCGCTTTAAGCAATACAACGGACGAGCAGGAACTTCTCCACCTCCTGCTGCCTCAGTTTCGGCCAGCGTGTCAGTGGTACCATACCAGCCGGCACCAAATGCTGACCACACCGAACCCCGTTAGTGAAACTCACCTCACAGCACTGGAGAAATTCGTGTACTTTGGGTGTACGATTTCAAGAAACATCAAAATCAACGATGAGATTGCAAACTAGATCTCCAAAGTCAACTAGAGCTTCGGCCGACTAAAGCACTCCGTCTGGAAA